GAACTAGCTAGTTCAAACTAGGCTTAATCCTCGTAAAATGAGGTTTACCTAGTTCGAACTAAGCGCTCCGCTAGTTCGAATTAAATTCGAGCTAGCGGAGCGCTAGTGTAGCGCCTATTAAAGTTAGTTCGAACTAACGTCCGTTAGTTCGAACTAACTGTGTAGTGTAGACATACCCTCAGAGTTCAGTCTCTACAAAATTTCGGCACGAATTGCACAGTGTCCTAGCGGAGCGCTAGTGTAGCGCCTATTAAAGTTAGTTCGAACTAACGTCCGTTAGTTCGAACTAACTGTGTAGTGTAGACATACCCTCAGAGTTCAGTCTCTACAAAATTTCGGCACGAATTGCACAGTGTCAGCCTCTCTACATTCAAGGAGGGAAAGCAAAGAGGGGGGAGCAGGAGTCACTGCTGGGGGGAACCAGCTTAAAAGTAGGTTCCCTACAGCACCAGCTCCTCGGTGCTGCCTGACCTCATACCAGAGGCAGCAGTGCAGAATGGTAGGGAGCTCCCCGGGAGTGGGACCAGGAGAATACTGGCTACCAGCCTCGGCCCCCAGGGACTATCCAATAGTTGTGTAACCAACACGAATTCATGAGGTTACACAACTATTCAATTACCCAATACCTAGCATCCCTAGAAGAATCACGCTAATTGAGAAAGATTACTAGACCTGTTTGGCTAAAATCAAAACAACATTCAGAGCACACAACTAAAACCAAGTAAGTTATTTTTCCCTCCCAGGTTCCCCTGGCTATAATTAGCATTGCCCATCTTCCCTAATAGAGGGTTAACATCATCACTTCCTGCTGCAAAGTGTTTTAGAGTGAGAGTCAGCAGCCAACTTTCTGCTCCTGGCTCAGCTTCTCCCAGCTCACACAGGGCACAAGGCCCTTAGAAAAGCAGCTGCCCTACCTGATTGCTCATGGAGTCTGACCCCAGGGACAGAATCTATTGGGTCAAACCCCAAAACTACCACACCCAGTTCCAGAAGCTTCTGGGTGTGGAGTGTTAAATTTGCCTAGCAACAATGACCCAGACTTAACTCGCTCATACCACCTTGCCCCCTCTTCCCCCCGCCCCTCTCACAGGTCTCCTAAAGATATATCTCCCTATCAGGTACATGGGTTACACTAGCAAGTTATAAACACGAATTAGCCCTCTATAATACCTTTAACAAGAACAACAGCACCCCTGACTATCTCCTGCCTTGAAAGAAGACAGGAATGTCCATTTATTCAACTGCCCTCTCAGTTCAAGCAGGAACAGCAATGAAGCTATATCAATTTACATCAGCTGAGGATCTAGTGCTTTACACCAGTTTAATATACAAGATACTTGTATAAAAATGTCTTTAATCTGGGCTGTAGGTGTTTCCTGTGGTGCCTTTGAATTGCATCACTATCATAGGGTACGTCTATACAGCAGCATTATTTCAGAGTAACTGATGTTATTCCTAAATAACATATTGCACGTCTACACTACAAGCCTTTATTTTGAAATAACGTCGAGCTGGAAGACTTCTAACTCCAACTCGTGGTAACCCTCATTTTACAAGGAATCAGGGAAGCTGAAGAAAGAATGCTCTTCCTTCGACTTCCTGCTGTATAGACAGCACCAAAAGCTGAATTAAGCTATTTCGACTTATGTTATGCAATTGACGTAGCCGAAGTTGCATAGCTTAATTCAGCTTTAATCCTGATGTGTAGACGTACCCATAGTGAACAGTTAAATCTAACCCTCTTCCCCTCAAACAAATAAAAAATCACATATCTTACTTATTGGCAGATTAGTCATCTAGGTTTTTTTCCCTTTCTACAGATATCATATATGAAAATAACAAAGTTCAACATCCTTAAAACACTATATAATATCGAGCTTTTCATAGATAACACTTATCAGCTGTGATCAACAGCTCCATTGTGCCAATAACTTTGATTCTCAGAGATTTGTTTACACAGAACAGCTTAATAGTTACTGGCAGAATCTCAAGTAACCCTTTCTTTTCTTCCCTCTTGCTAATGTAGGTTTATGAAATATTGAAAAGAACAACATGTACCAAAGCCAAATACAGCATGGGTAAGGAACTTGACTTAGGTTTGAAATCATCATTTTCAGGTGTCTAAAATGCTGCAAATTGCAACTGAAGGGATGGTTTGGGTGGGGTTTGTTTGTCTTTTTTTTCTCCATTGTTTGATTTAAGTTCATTTAGTTTTGTTCTTGTTTTCTGAGCTTTGTTTGGTCACAAACATTTTTTGTCTCTAAAGATATAAAGCCATTACTGTCAAGGAATTTTATGATCAGATCTTTGTAAATTGTGAAGCAAGATGAATATTTTCACGTACAAAGAGATCATTCACAAAGAAACTGGATGGCAGCATAAAACACTACTAAGATACGGCCCAGGAACTAATAATGTGCAATCACTTCCTGATCACCAGGGGTTCAATCCTATCCATACTGAAGTCAATGAGAGTATTGCCACAGACTTCAGTAGCTGCAGATTCACAGTCTATATCCAGCCATATAAATCCAGTCTATATCAATAGTCACCTAAAATTATCACTGAAGGCTCTTTAAGGGCTTGTGTGATATGGTCTCAGTTGACAAGCTTTCAAAACTAGACCATAAATGGCATTTATTGGCATTCTTCACTAACTCAGCAGAGAGGCCATGTACGGGAGCGGGCATGGGGACTACATTAATTTCTCATCCCTAGAAGACATGGTTGTCCCTCCAGTTCAGTGACAACGTGGTGGAGTAATATCGGGAAGTTTACACTACTGCTACCTATGAATGTAGGATTTTAGCCTTCAGAACTGATCCAACTGTTCAATTTACCAAACAGGCAACAATAAAAATCAGGTCACCCTGGTAAAGACCTGCTAACCATGTATTCCCTCTTCACCTGTTTTATAGTCTCTTTTACACTGCTTATGATACATAAGGATTCACTAAACTATAGCACTGAGGTGAAAAAATAGCTCATAATAATCCAGATCATGAGTGGCAAAACCTAAGTTTTTTTAAATCCAGTCATCCCCATATATGATATCCCATGGGGGGAAAATAACTCAAATGGAAAAAATGTTCAATGGCCATTGGCAACAGTTAAAACATTAATTTGTCCACAGGTAGTTAAATACAGTACAGGTATGGGAACTTAACTTACAAGTAGCTTTGACTAAATATTGACAAAACTGATGTTAAGACGTCCATGAAATAATGGTGGTATGATTCAGCCAGAAGTGCTTTGTATACTCTGACTTTGCAATTTAACTCTCAACATACAGTGCACAGGTGGTGAGTCTTTATATGCCATAAGATTATTTTGGGTGCAGCCAGGTACTGGTCCTGTAATGTGGGAAATCCAAATTCAGGAGTGATCTCCAGTTTCCAAGCTATTGCTGGATCAGTTTCAGAGAAGAAATAACAAACTTGCACTCTGGCAGGAGGAAAGTCCCGTGGCTCACTGTGGAATCTTGCCTTCCAGCTGGCTGCTTGTTTGCGCTCCTGGTCAGAAACAGGGCCCACATTCACCGTTAATTAAATGAGGGGAAAGACCTTGTTAAGATTTTTGGGTCCCCCTTCTTCTGCCACCTTCACCAGATGGGGCACGGAAAGGCCACACAGGATGCATGAGTTGAAGAGATGTTTGGGCTGCATAATCAGTTGGGGTAAATCAGTGTTGTGCCATCTGACTTGGTATGTTTGGTAATTATATATTTAAAGAACATTCTGGAACAGATTAGAGCAAATACTTGTAACACTGGGACATTTTAGAAGTGGTTTCCTCTGAACTTTGCCAAGTAGGAATAACAAGTAGTGTGCAGTGAACACTCCAGCTTTCTGATGTTTATAAGTGCAGACTTGTGAAACTGCAAATTATAATCCACATCTTTTAATGCCAATATGCAGCAGGTGGAGTGTTCAAATCTTCAGCAGTGCACTACTGCTTTGTAATATTCTGAAACTCTTATTAAACACATTGACCCAATATTCATCTAATGATAATCAGCTTAGTTGGTGTAAATAAACATTGCTATACCGATTTCAATAGCACTGAAGATGTGATCTTAAAAGTCAACATAGCAGAGTCACCCAACCTATCTTCCAGGGGTAACAAGACCCATTCAAAGACTTGTGAAACTCCATATTTGGAAGTAGCTATATTAATGCCAACAGCTATAATAAAGCACACAGTATCTAGAAATTATATACTATAGCCTCCAAGAATCTGTGTCCTGCTAAGCAGTCTTTGGAATTCTGTAGCAAGATGAGATTTCTAAGTGCATTCTTCACCCATTGCACAATTCCAACTATATATATATATATATATATATACTTCTCCTGTTATGTCCTCACTTCTCTTAATTTATCCCAAAGTCGAAGAATGAGATTACTCTCCAGAAAGCAGAGAATAAACTCCACCCCACACACATTAGAGATGCAGCAGTAACTGCTTTAAGGCTCATACATGTAACTAATAGACAAATGTGTAAACAGGGAAAGGAGAGGGAAGACAGACGGACACTACCCTTTTAAATAAAAGATGGAAATGTGGTAAATATGGTAAGTATTAAAACAAGGGCTTTGCTTCCCCTACAACTTCGCTAACCATTCTGAGTGTATGATGAGAGCATGTATATTAGATTGCCAACTTTGTATTTTAAAAAAATAAGGAATTATATTCCTAGCACCCCTGCCCTGCTGCCCCTCCAGATGATATGAGTATTAATACTGATACTATTAATACATTTGCCAGGGATATTTCTTGCTGCTTTTTGCAGCATTCAGAAGCTCCCATGTTGTACATAAATTTAAAAATAAGGAACATCGCTTGCAATAATGGACTGTTGGCAGCCTAGTATATATGTTCCTTTACACAGTCAATTCCAGTCATATTCTTCTTATGATCCAGCCTTTTGCTCTAAAATCTGCAGCCTTGCTCTTCAAATTGGACTGACTTTCCAGAGAATGTCATTTATTGTAATGACTGGTTTCAAGTCATTGTCTCCTAATTCTTCATTCTCAAATATATGACTTCCTTTTATTCTCTGCCGTTTTACATTTTCTAAAATGAATCCTATTTAATGATCTGTATGAATGAAAATGAAACTACATGGAGAGGAATTAGATGGCAGAAGATTTATTACCTAACCAAATGAGTGCTATTTTGAGGGAATACTTTAGAAAAGTTGGATGTAAACTTGAGACTGTCCAAATTTAAAATGGTACATTGCTAGCTATTCTGTCTTTGTCTTTCAAGGAATCACCAGTCTGCTTGCCAATGGAGTTTACAGTGCTGCATATCCTTTGCATGATGTAAGTGATCTTGGAATATATTTTATATTTTTACAATCTGACATGAACAAATCCTTAGTGTGTTATGTATTAATGGCATCGTCCCAAACATCTTTAGTGTTTCATGAGCTTAATATCCTGCTCTGCTTTTATAATGAGTTTCCACAACTTTTACAGTCTTTACTTGTCAGCTGTGTTGTCTTTTAATAATACTTGCTGAGTTAGTTCCCTTGGTCATCAAAAATGCCACTGTGATATAAAGTTAGTAAAGTATATTACTGTGGCTTGGCGAATTTAAATACTTTAGCTAGTCTTTGACTTTCTGCTCCCATGGACTCTGGCATCATGGGGAAACATATTAATATCTATGAGTTTAGGTAGCTATTTTCCTGGTCTAAATCTCCCTGGCATCCCTGTATATAAATAGCAAATGTCAGTGATTGTATGTATGATGAGTTGTGATTGGGGAAGGAAAAAATAATGACCTATTCTGAGGCTACATCTACACTACCACAGAAAGTTGACATAAGGTACACAACTCTAGATATGCAAATAACATAGCTGGGGTCAATGTACCTTAAGCTTTGTTACTTGAGGGGGGTTGACAGGAGAAACACTCTTATAGACTTCCCTTCCTTTTCTCATTGTAGGTAGAGTAAGACAGTTGATGAGAGAGTGATCTGTGGTCAATGTGGTAGGTTTTCACTAGACCCGTTAAATCAACTACTGGTAGATCTCAAAGCATCAATTTTCCCACAGTTGTGTAGTTTGAGCCTGAGTTCTACTTCACCTTAAACTCTAGCCTATGTTTCTAGTGTGTGATGTATTTCATGACACTGGCTATTTCCCAGAGCCTGTCTCTAACTAGTTCTTTAATTGTCCAAATACTTTTAATTTATAGTGTCAGTAGGGACTGGTAAAATCAGAAGACAATAAAGAATTGTATATGGAGTTTTTTACCCCTGGTGCACTGGCATGGATCTGTATCAGGCTAGTAGTGACTCAAAAATTTCATCCTCTGGCTTCATGGCCTTATAAAATGAGTTGGGGGTGGGGGGGGAGACTGATAGGTATACCACAGTTAGCATTAACTGACATGCTCACCCAAAAGACTGAAAACTGAATGACTTTGAAACACTTACAGTCACTTCCTTCATGACTGTCAACAGCAGTGCTTGATGTCCCTGTTGTATCCGTTCTATGAGGATCTTGGTGTGAAGCTGAAGTAACACGGTGGTGGAAAAGACCCTTTTGACCTCATACTTCTCTCATTTGCTGGAGAATTAAAACAAATGATACTTCATTGACCTGAATGGGTTTATCATTTGATTTTATATTGGTGTGAATAGATCAGAATCTGGCTTTTTTTGTTATCTGGCATATATCACAAGCATCTGCTATAGAAAGAAAATTTGTTGTTCAAAATTTTAAAGTTCTGCTTCATGTACATACTAAGGTTCTATTGTGCTGTATTAGACATGTAGACAGCTATCGATGCTACTTATGTGCATTTTGTTTCATAATTGTGTTCCATATCATGTTTAAAAATGGCTGCAAATCAAAGCTCCAGACCTAAATATTGCTGAGACAGTTTGGATATGGGTCAGCCTTCTAAGCTGGTCTCCTCTTTCTATAATAGATGACCTAAACCCCAAATATAACTCAGATGTAGGCCTGTCTCTATTCACATTCTTCCGCTTGACATTTTTAGGCCACCTTTATTACTTATTCGTTTCTTTTGCCCAGTGACTGCCTTTATTGCTTTTTCTTAATGTGCTTGATGACAGAAGACAAAGTGTGCCATGAGAAATGATCCCATATAATAGTGTTATTTTACAAATTGCCTTTCTGTTTTTGATGCATTACGTGAATAGGCTATATGGTATGCGAGACTCATAACAGCTCTGGGTGTGAGTCGTTGGATGACGCAAATTTTCTTTTTTTAAAGGGTGACTACGAAGGTGAAAATGTTGAGCTGAATGACAGAAAAGTAAGTTGATCTATGAGATTCAGCAAGTTCTCGAGCGTCAGCCTCACATGTCACCTGCTGGGAATTGGACACAGGCCAACATTTCCCAGAAAGTATCATGGAAAGGCAACCGTGTCAAATAGAAGAAGTACTTTAAATATTAAATTTACTCCATCATGGAAAGGCAACCATGTCAAATAGAAGAAGTACTTTAAATATTAAATTTATTCCAACATAAAATACAACATGGATGTGTATAAATTAACTTATATAATAACTGTGCATTTCACATCATCATCCGAAAAATGTCAGCATTTACATTCTAATTCCTCTTAAGGGTGCTGTGACATTACCCAGGGTACAATCTGGACTGTTGAACAGCCATGCCCCATCAATACTCCAACCAGGGATGCCTTTTACACTACTTTGCTGCAAGAACAGCCACTCCTGGTCTGCTCTCTCACACCTATACTATTACATTACTAGCTATACTGCCTAAGTGCTATGGCCAGTTCCCCATCAATTACACTGCAGGGCGACACTAACAAACTTCAGCTCCCAAATTTTCACCCAGAAATGTGCATCTTGTGTTGTCTAGGACAGAACTGGGCAGTACAAGTTCATATAAAGTAGATAATTTTGTTAATAGAAAAAGACATGCACAAATCCTGTTTTCCCCAATGAAGTTCAATGCAGACGCCCACTAATTTATGGAGGAAACAAGTAGACGTACTGCACATTAATTTTGAAATAAGCTAATCCGGAATAGTTATTCCAAAATAGCTTATTTCAAAATAGCACGTCTACACTGCAGGGAAGCCTCAAAATTAGTCCGAGGCAGTCTTCCCTAATATATCAGAGGGGTAGCCGTGTTAGTCTGAACCTGCAAAAGTGGCGAGGAGTCCTGTGGCACCTTATAGATTAACTGAAGTGTAGGAGCATAAGCTTTCGTGGGCAAAGACCCACTTCATCAGATGCATGTGGGTATTTAACTGGGTAAACAATTAAACAGGGATACCCCCCCACACACACACCTGCTGCAGCAGGATTGGAGTGCCCCCCAATGGGCCAGGCTGGAGCCCCCTTCCCCCCATACCCCAATGGGCCAGGCTGGAGCACCCTTCCCCCCATAGCAGGACTGGAGCAGTACCTTAATGGTGACAGGCAGGGGAGCTGCTCTAGTCCCAACTGATTAACTGTAACCCAAAAGCATCAGCTGGTAAGGGTGATGCTTACTGGTTTACTATTCACATTCCTAGTCAATATGCAGCACATTCCTAGTCAAAATGCAGCAGGTGTGTGTGTGGGGGTGGTGTCCCTGTTTAATTGTTTACCCAGTTAAATACCCACGTGCATCTGAAGAAGTGGGTCTTTGCCCACGAAAGCTTATGCTCCTACACTTCAGTTAGTCTATAAGGTGCCACAGGACTCCTCGCCGCTTTCCCTAATGTAGATGTGCTATCTCGATTTAGAGCCCCAAAAGGCACTGGGGAGGAATAACTTAGAATGGCTCTGCTGAGGGGCTATTTCGAAATAGCAGAAGTGGAGCATCTACACACGGTTTATTTTGAAATAGTTTTTTCAGAATAGGCACTATTCTTTGTAGAGCGTGGTTTATAGATTTCAGCATAAACCACCTGTTATTTCAATATTACTTTGAAATAATGGAATGGTTGGGTAGACTCTCGCATAGTTATTTCAGAATAATGGCTGTTATTCCAAAATAACTTTGCTGTGTAGACATACCCCGAAGTATTCATCCTCTGATGTGAGGTGCTTCAGACTGGCTGGGACTGACTATGTTTCAAGACACTTTAAGTGACATTAAATGACCAATAGTCACACTTTTTGTTTTCTGTTTTTAAATATAATATTTTTAAAGAAAGAATGAGAAAGCATGAACAAGAAGGAAGGTTATAAATTAGGCATAATAAACTACAGAAGAGCAGTTGCACCATATATGTAGTACACATGTAGTGTTCTGTAAGCATAATCAAATGAATTCTTATAACACTTCCACGAAGAGGAGTTTCCATTTTCCAGAAAGAGAAAGGGTGACGAAGAGGGTAAGGCCAAAGTTTTCAAAAGAGAACACTAAGCTTGGAGGGAGAGGGCTCATTTATTGGGTCTCAAAACAGCTTGGGCCTTATTTTTCAGAATTGCTGCATACCCACAACTCCAAATGAAGTCAGTGGGAAGTGCAGGTGGTCAGCATATCTGAAAATCAGGCAAAATTCATCTCATGTTGAGCACCCAAAGTCAGAGGCACTTTGGGGCTTATCAAAGACCATGAAGCATTGTCATTGGCAGAGTCAGGAGTTGCAGCCAAATTTCTGATTTGTGACTAGCCCTCTGCACTTTGCTGTCTTCTGTTTTATACTGAAGTTAAAAATATTGTGTCTGTGTAATTGCCTTATTGAAAAACAAGTTATTCAAACAAACAAAAAAGCAAAAGACTAAATTGCTTCAAAGTTTTGGATTATCTTTTTGACCAGTGCCTTTCCAAGACTCACACAAGTTCACTCATTCCACCACTTCAGAAATATAAATAGTCACTGTATGCTGACTTTCAGTGCCTTCAAATAGTTCTTTGGCAACGGTCATGGTTCTTAATACTTGCTCTTAAAACTTTCTAGACTCCAATTTAATAGTTGCCCAGGTCTTACATCTTATCACAAAACCAGACATAGCACTGAAATAAATATTTAGCACCATTGCAAAGATACTTCATAATCGTTGATTTGAAGCTGCACTCTGAATATCAAGCAGCTAAACAGCAGGATAGGTGTAATTGTTTATCTGAACTACAAATATTAATCTGCAGGTTTGAAGTGTCCTCCAAAACTGAAAAAATTGTATTGATGCAAAATCTCTTTAATTCAGCATCTTTCTGATAATTTTAAAAAAAACTGTACTAACCATACAGACATATGGGCCTACCTTTGCAAGAGGTTCCAGTGATTTTGGGTTCCCAACTCAAGACACCTGAAAGGGGCTTGATTTTTATAAAGTACTGAGCACCTGCCCAATCAAATCAGGTCATTTTTATAATGTTGCAATTTTGACACCTGATATGAAGATGCCCAAAATGACAGTTCTTACTTTTTGAGCTCAAAGTAATAAATATTGATTGACTTGGGTTGCAGAGAGGAAAATATGCAAGCCACTTAGTATTTACTGACAACACATCTTTTATTATAAATAAAAATGCAATTATTCTGAGTGACTTGAACACATTTAGAGAGCGGGAAAATATATCAGGCAAGCTTTGAAGGCTTTAGTCATTCTTCAAGAAAACAGCAAAATTGCTCTACAGATAATGTCACCTCTATGATTTCCTTTGCTAAACATAGGAACATGAGGTTCAGTTAGATTGCCAATGTGGCGTCTGTTTGTTTGTTTATTGATTGATTTATATTTCACGGTAGAATTGTAAGCATCTGAGATATTTGCTTTCACCTCATCAAGATATAAATAAACTAATGATTTTAGGAAACATCAACCTGTTACTACCTATTCTTGTATGAATTGGTTTATCTGTGCCTAAAGGTAATACATTTAAAACTCCTTGTGTCTAAAATCTATATAAGATAAAAGCCTTTTATTTAATTAATTATTTAACAATTAGGCAATGCTAGTTTTTATGACTTAATTATTTTGCATCTATGAATCAATTGAAATAAAACTCTACAGGAAATATCACACTCTTTGGTTTTGTAAATAGGCCAGTATTCACATCCCCAGTCTCAGCCTCACACAGGTGATTTAATATTCCACTTACTGTTTTTTAACTGTTAATTCAGAGAGAGGTTTTAACTTTAAGCCCAGCTTTAGGTAAAAGTAATGTATAAGCTGCACCATCCAGGTGAATAGCCATGGTTGGCATTGACACACAGAGGCACACCTCCAAATCAAATCCTGCCATTCTCTCCCTGTGCTGCAGGTTAGGTTGGTAATTTTCTGCTGGCCTGTACCCCCATTCCAGCCAGAGGTAGAGTGATAGTGGGTCTGGGCTTGGCCCACATTCCTGTCCATTCACCTCCCAGGTGCTCTGGTAGTTGGAAATAAATGAGCATGCAGCACTGGCTTATTTCTTCATGTCTAGAACCAAAGTGCAACTATCCTGTGCAGGTATGTAAGGGAGTTCTTACTCCATTAAATGGAAATGTAGTCAATCACAGTGTAGCTCTCATTTTTCCTGGTTCATTTACCTGATTTCCTTCTCAGATTCTATATTTTTAAAGTATACTATGAGTGGGATTTCTAAAAGTCTGTAAGTAAAACAGGAGCACAAGCCCTACTGAAAGACAATGGCATTTGTAGTCTCATAAGTACCACCCATGCTATGGTCATATTTGCAGTTTGGGGGCTGCCTTCTTTCATTGATTTTTTTTCCCCACAAAATTGCCATTGCCTTGAATGAAGTTTGCACGTGCAGAATGAAAGCAGGTTGTGGTCCTCAAGAGTTTAAGTACAGGTCAGGCGGGTTGAAAAACTTCTATCATAACTGTTTTTCAGCAGAATATTAAGGCTTCTAACTCCATGAACATTTCCATAAAAAGTATTAGCCTTCCACAGAAACGGTCAGCATTTTGGCACCAAAACATTTTTGGATAAAAACCAAAAGCCTTTTTCATTTTTAGCTTTTTGACAAAAAATCAAAATATTCCATCGGGAAAAAATAATTTCCCCCAACATTAGAGTGAATGTATGTACACATACACTATATTGGCAAACATCTTCCCCATTCAAAAGCTGCTGCTTAGATTGCACTTACTTCATGATATGTACACATATACTGTATTGGCAAACATCTTTCCCCATTCAAAAGCTGCTGCTTAGATTGCACTTACTTCATGAGAACACAGCACAATGTGCAATTCCTACTCACACAAGTAATACCATTGAGGTAAATTGGATTACCCAGAATGTGAGAGAGGATGGTACAGTCTAGCCCTATATAAACTAAGTAGCACATGCTGGTCCTTCACTCTTAACAATGAGTTCAAAATAGTTTAAATGGTATTGACACAAATGTTATCCAGGTGTTTGGGAATCTTCCCATCCCTATTAATCAGTTTGGGTTTTCATAATAAACTCTGAGGACATACGTCTATAATAGAGAGTAGCAAATATTAAAAGTAGTTGCTACTGCAAATAAATCTGCCCTTTATTACTGACAACAGTTAAAATATGTGTATGCAGAGATAGGTAGATATGTACGTATGGAGTGGAAATCTATCAACTAACTCACTTGGCTACACTCTAAAGCAGGTAGATACTGAACTAGTTTAAATTAAAAACAAAAGAGGAGAAGGATGCAGCTAGCAACAACTTTTAAAAGAATTGTACTTATTTCAGAATATGAAAATACTTGCTGATTAAATTAATCTGATTCTGATTCCCTGTTGATGTATGTTGGGTTTTTTTTCTCACCAAAGATTACAGTTAAATAAACCTATTCATAGCAATCAACTCATGCATTTAAATTTGAGATATTATACCATTGCCAAGGGATTTAATGCAGAAAGTGGTTACAATAAGAACAAACAGACCTATTCATCACTAGGGTTTGCATGGATTAATGATTGCTATATTGTTTGTATTAAATTAAAAAGAAAAAGAAACTAGAGACACAATTGATGTATGGGACTTCACAGGTATATCATGAGAGCTGCTTTATTCTTTCTGGTTATGTGTGAAGAACTTGTACAGAAATCAGTGAAATTTTTGTACTAAAACTCTGTGGCAAGATAATATACCTTAAAATGTGCTGAATGGCAAGATGGATGTTAAATTGTCAATTTAATACCTAGGAATGCCTCCTTGTTCTCTCCAGAATTGTACTGGGTCAGAAAGAATCAAATCCTAGAAGCATAGTTTTGTTTACAATGTAAATTATGCAGTAAATTGAGTGCTTTCAGATTAATCTAGTTTTGTGAGTATGTAATTTCATGCTGTGAGCCATTAATGGTGACCTTTATTTTCTTTGGCCCAAATTCTAACTGAAAATAATGATGAGATCATTGCGTTCTTCTTAAGATCTTAAATGCACTTTTCTTGGACACCTCAATACACTTCCTCATGACAAATACAAAATATCAGTGCAGCAACAGCAAACTAGTTTATTCCAGTTTTGTATCTTTCTAATAACTCCGAGAACAATCATCTTTCAAATCCCCATCCATTCTGCTAAAGACTTGACTGATGTATGATTTGCAACTATCAAGAAAATCAGGGTTATCCTCCCCCCTACGTCTGTCCATTAGTCCTGTGGTTGGAGAGCTTTTAATGCAGTAGAATTCATCATTGTAGCATGCCATGTGCCAAACCATTAACCTTGTTTTCGATACTTAATGCATACGCATGTATTGGTCGACTGCAGTATGTGCATCCACAAAAAGAGTGACACCAGAGCACACTTTGAACTATGCAATGAGTTGGAACAAAAGGAGAAATAACTCTTTAAGTGATGCTTTAGTTTTAACTTTCAATTGTGATTTTATTTTACAGCTTCTGTGTGAAGAATGGGCAAGCTATGGAGTCTTTTATAAATACCAGCCAATTGACCTGGTGAGGTAAGGATAATTCCAAACGTCTTGTTTCCATGCAGAATTTTAAAAGTTTCATAAAGCTGATTCTTTGTTACAGATACAGGGCCTGATTCTCTCCCTTTATTCTACTAGTTTCCCAGGCTGTCGGAGTCCTTTTTGGAGGATGATCTAGGGAGACACAAACCTTCTATGGGCCTGGAGCCCTTGATGACGCTCAAAGAATGGGACAGAGCTGGCTAGGGATGGGTCAGAGCCCAGGCACCCAGGAGACATGCTGATTCCCTGGTTAGACGAGGAAAGATCCCATCCTTCTGTAGAAGCACTGTGGCAAGATATTGATAGTACCTAGATACTTAGAATCCTAGAACTGGAAGCGACCTCGAGAGGTCATCGAGTCCAGTCCCCTGCCCTCACGGCAGGACCAAGCACTGTCTAGATCATCCCTGACAGATGCCTATCTAACCTGCTCTTAAATATCTCTAGTGATGGAGAGTCCACAACCTCCCTAGGTAATTTATTCCAGTGTTTAACCACCCTAACAGTTAAGAAGTTTTTCCTAATGTCGAACCTAAACCTCCCTTGCTGCAATTTAAGCCCATTGCTTCTTGTCCTATCATCAGAGACCAAGGAGAACAATTTTTCTCTCTCCTCTTTGTAACACCCTTTTAGATACTTGAAAAACCCTCTCAGTCTTCTCTTTTTGAAACTAAACAAGCCCAATTCTTTCAGTCTTCCTTCATACTTGTGCTTAGTTGTTACATAAATCATTAGATTTACATCGCATGAAAACCAGAAAGTGGTGGGTCCAGATGAAAAACAGACATTTAATATATTTACAGCATCCCCTTCAGGTAACTTAAACCAGAAGATGCATTTGTGTTTGCAGTTAAGTTTCATTTAAAGTTCCAAAGAGACCAGAGGCAAGGCTTTTTTCCCCCTATATTTCCACTTCACTCTCTCTCAGATTGACCATGCATTCTCAGTACACTCAATGAGAATTTATGGTGCAAAAAAGAATGCAAGACTTTGACTTTTTTTTACTTTTATTGAGGTTGTGTGTGTTTGTTGTCAAGTATCAGAGGGGTATCTGTGTTAGTCTGGATCTGCAAAAGCGACAAGGATTCCTGTAGTACCTCAGGGTATGTCTACACTACCCCGCTAGTTCGAACTAGCGGGGTAGTGTAGACATACCCTGAGGTACTACAGGAATCCTTGTCACGTCTGTTGTTATTGAGATTCAGAGTCCATACAGAAAAAGGCAATCCTTGTCGCGTCTGTTGTTATTGAGATTCAGAGTCCATACAGAAAAAGGCAGAATACTCGTTTGGGGGATTTGATCATGGTAAATCCAAGGACATCAGTTTAGACACGTACAAGAGCAAAATAATTTGGCTAGTAGGGGTAACTGACTGTCTTGGTCCTTCCATCACTGGATTCATTCCAAGTGACTTGCAAAAAGGAATCGGTCCAAGGAGAAATGCAATCCAGATAGCCAAGAGTTTATTTTGTCCTTCGAGCTCAATACTGTTCTGATTCATAAGTTTTAGCCAGGATGTATTTTAAGATATAGTAAATATTTCATTTTTTTCTTTAATGTATTTCAGAAAATACTTTGGAGAGAAGATTGGGCTGTATTTTGCCTGGCTGGGAGTTTATACTCAAATGCTCATTCCAGCTTCCATTGTTGGAGTGATTGTGTTTCTGTATGGCTGTGCAACCGTGAATGATAACATACCAAGGTAAAAAAAAAACCAAATGTTCACTCTTTTTCTTTACAAATCCAAACAGCATTCAAAATCTAGGCTGTTAGAGATGCATGGCACCAATCATTTATTCAAGCATTATGCTGGCACTGAGTCAGGTTGGGTCAATGAAATCTTCAGCTGTACCTGGTACCATGCCATCAGCTGGAATACTGGGCCATAGCCCCTTTTATATCACTGATTCAATGTGATAGAATTATTAGAGCTTCATAAACACAGATCCTAGAGCCTCTTCCATGCCTTTTACTAGCCTGCCCCCATAAAGTTCATTCATATCAATTTTTGTATAGAAACAGTTCATATTGAATAGAGTTAAAAATGTTCTTGAGTCTGCAAAAATAAGATTTACAACATGAATTTAAAGGAACTTGATTTATTCAGTTTATCAAAGAGAAGTGTGGAAGGTAACTCAGTGTATACAAGTATTTAGACATGGGAAAGGAATCTAATAGAGGGTTTTTTTTCTTCTTTGTGACAAAGGTAAAACAAGAGCCAATGGCTAGAAGTTGAATGTAGGTAAAATCAGCTTTGAAATAAGATGCAATTTCCTAGCAGGGAGGATGATTAAACTTTGAACAGCTTATATGGGGAGGTGGTGGGCTCCTTGACTGGAATCTCTAAAATGATGTTAAATATCTCTCTGCAAGATATGCTTTAATTCAGCTTTTGGGAAAAATTCTGTCTGTGTGTCCAGGAAGTCTCATGGGAGGGTCATAATGGTCTCTTATGGCCTTAAAATCTATATATCCTCCTATTCATTCCATCCCTTCATAGGCTTTGGAGAGAATAGGAAGCTCTGCATTTCCCTCACCATGATCAAAACACTTGCAGCTCTGCTTCCATAGAATTATTATGATAAAATCTAATGCTTCAGGCTGTCTCCTGCAAGGATCAGGAAGGATCTTTTACTCCAAAGCACAATTGGCCAGATGTATTTGGGATGCAAGACAGAATAGCCATTTTCCTCTGCAGAATCAGGAAGTGACTGCAGTTGGATTTAGGACATCAGATAGGGTGGATTAATACTCTGAATCAGTGTTTCTAAAAATGTTCTGTGAGCCTGTTTTGGGAAAGCCAATAGTGGGCTTGCACTTCTTTGTTTAACTAAAGTAGTGTTTCTTAAACTGTGTTCTGCGGCACATCAATGTGCCACGAGGCAGTCAGAGGTGTGCCACAGAGAACAACAGAGTTCAAAATGGCCACCCTTAAAGGGGCAGGTTTTTAGAGAAGGCAGGGGGAGTGGTGGATTGAACTTTGGCATGTCGTTGATAAGTTTCCTCTGGCTCCTTCTCTCTTAATAACTTTTCCCCCCCCCCCCCCACCCTTTTTTTTTCTCTTCGGTGGATTAATACTCTGAATCAGTGTTTCTAAAAATGTCTCTTCTCAACAAAGAATCTTTGGTGTTGCTCATAAAAAAAAAAATATTGTTTGCTGTTCCTCGGTCTTAAAAAGTTTAAGAAACACTGACCTAAAGGGTCCAAAAGCCTGTTTTCTTTTAATGCTGGAGCTGTGCAAAAGGTTAGAAGCAGGTCTCAGGACTGAGCCCACTATATCCAACATTTTATGTTATCATTATTCAACCATCTTAATCATCTAATGGGAATTTATTTATTTATGTATTTTATTTTATTTGATGCTGTGCTGGAAGTGTGCATGACAATATAGGTATTCACAGTATTCATCTAAGAGTTTGTTCTCTACAGTAGAAAGATAAAACATGTACAGAATAAACTGTGTTCTCAGAAAATAGAATCTGGAGATAACATGCAGACAAAATAGAAGGTCACAGTTCACCTTTTGATGAGTCAGCACTTGCTTAGTTTTTTTGAGTTTATATACACCTAAATATCCAGACATGTGGGAAAATAATCCAGTCTGGTCAGCTGATGAGATGTGTGCTAAAATAATTTATTATATCTCACAAGTTGCTAGCAACTTTTCTGTCCTTTTCATAACTGTAGATCAGGTCATAATATAAAAGAACATTTAAAAAAAATCTAATCAGAATACAGATAGTGAATAGTGATCAGGTCATTATATAAAAAAACATTTTTAAAAAATCTAATCAGAATACAGATAGTGAATAGCAGCCACTGTAAACACAAAAACAACTGAAAAATACATAGGTTGAAACTAAATAATCTGGTGAAATTAGTAAAATCCAGCTGGGTGGTTTTTAACTATACTATGTAGTTATTTATTATACATTTCCAAAAAAGGCCTCTAATTTTGCATGCCCAGTTTTGCTTCCATAGTCTGTTTCATGTGCAATTGACACACTATAGGTATCACCCAGAACAATTATATCTGTGCTCACAAATCATACAATGGATGGCTAGGGCAGATTTTGTGGCCTGATAGCGTTCACCCCTCCTGTTGGTGGGCTTAGCAACCAGCATAGGAGCTCCTCTCATACCTCTTATCAGCCCCTAACATACAGTGGTTTTTATGTAGAAGATATAATGGGCTCCTTTTTATGCCCCAGCTGCTAGAGTAATTGCTGGAAACCTTAGGCAGTCATGCTTGAAGTAGAGCAGTCCCCATATTACTGTACTTAGTGTTCAGCACAAGACATTGTTAAAATAAATGTTGCCTATCATTTTACCAGTCCTGTCCCTAGTTTAGCTCATCAGGATTAAATAATTTAGTTCCAAAATATCACATTAGAATACTACTGATTGTACCTGCAATTGATTGTAGATGCAAAATTAGCATTTCAACTGAGGTGACTTAGAAAATGCAGTGCTAAGATCAATGATGGCAGTAGTGGGTTAATGACAATTCCAAGATGCTCTTTCTCATACCACACAGAAAACTTTATAGCAGACTGCCAAGACAGTTTCTTTTCCCCAATTAACTGAAATACTGTTCAAAGCCAAAAACATTGGATCACTTTCATTTAATGCACATTGTTACCTTGATCTGAGGTCACATATTCCCGACAGTGTAGTTCCAGTGACAAGGCTAAGTAAGGAGGTAGTCTTGAGGACAATAGAAAGGAAGAACAGTTTTGATTAAACTGTTCAAATGATTAAAGTACTGGATTGGGCTTTGGGAAATTGGAGTTCAATTTCCAAGTCTGCTACAGACACACCCTTTCTCATCTTCATTTCCCAAAGTATCAAATGGGGTTAATGACACTTATTTTTCTCCTAGCCTTGGTCTGCATTTATTTACATTACAAGCACTTCAGAACAGGCTTTCTGTCACTTTGTGTTTATACAGTGATTAGCATAGAGCCTGATTCATTTCCTCTTGATAGCAACAAAGAGATTCCTGTTGAATGGAAATTGTAGCAGGACTCTTGATTTTAAGGCCTTCCATAATACAAAATAAGTAACCATACTAACAAGAAGTTTAGGGGTGAGAAGAAATCTGAGGGGAATGTTTGGTAGCCTGACAGTTTGAATGTGCATTCAGTGACCGGAAAGATAAATGTCATAGCCGAAGAAATGACCTGTGCGTGGAAGATGAAATGTATTGACCTTACTCTTTGCATTTGCTTGTTGCTTTCTCACAGTAAGGAGATGTGTGACGAGAGAAACAATATCACCATGTGTCCTTTATGTGACAAAACGTGCAGTTACTGGAACATGAGCTCTGCCTGTGCCACTGCTCGAGCAAGTCACCTGTTTGATAACCCAGCAACTGTCTTCTTCTCTGTCTTCATGGCACTGTGGGGTAAGAAATGTATGGCCTTGACATGGAGTTTTTAATTCCCTTAAATACAGGAGATGTTTAAAAAGCTAAACCAGTATTTTTATGCTTGGACAGTTAATTATGTCAAGTCCTCACCAAGCCCCTCCCTCTCCCTCTTGCCAATGAAACTGTCATCCTAAATTTATATTCTGGACTGAAGGTTAAAATTCAGAAGGTTGCTTAGATGAATATAAAATGCAATTGTTAAGCATATGTCATAAAATTGCTGCCTGGTATGTCTAGATTTCATTAAGGGAATTGCATCGCTTGCCAACAAAGCCTGTTTGCACAGACCGCTTCCAAATTAGAACACTGCTGCAGAGATGTATAGCGTATGTGGGGCAGCAAGGGGAAAGGGGAGCATAATGACCATTTGAGTCTCAGAAGAAAACATGGCTGAGTCTTGCTGTGCACATAAGTGTGATTAAGCTTATCTGGAAAGGCATGAATCATATGTGCAAGAAGTAGCAGTGTGGTTTTGGGCCTCACGCTCTTGTTCCCCAGGGTCCCAGCTGCTGGCCCCATGCCCCTGCTGGCCACTCTTGTTCCCCAGGGTTCCAGCTGCTGGCCCCATGCCCCTGCTGGCCTGCTGCTGCCTGAAGACTGCACTGCCAGTCCCAGGGCCTTCTTGGCCACCAGTCCTGCACCTCTGGGCTTCGCTGCCAGCATACGGGTCCCACCCAGGTGCCAGCCCTATATGCAGGATCAGGTTGTCAAGCCAGGATGCCACCAACACTAGAGTCCTGGCTGCTAATCATAGCTCTGCAGGAGGGTATAGACCAGAGTATAGTGGGGTGCAGCTCAGCACCCCTACTCCAAAAATTGTTGCAGCACCAGTGGTAAAGACAAGTCCATGTGCTGCACTCTAATTATTTTTCAAATGCTGAGTCCCCCTGAACTTTTGAGTAAGTTTCTCTGCTTCAATTTCCACTTGTAAAATTGAGTTAATAATATTAGCTGCCCTATGAAAGTGTTGTGAGAATAAATTAGATAAAGTTTATAAAGTGGTTGGATGCACTATGTAAGAGCTAAGCATTATTACTGTTGCCTCAGCTAGATTTCCTAGTAGGGACAGTAGCCCAGATGGTGTCAGAAAACCTCTACATGGGAGATTTCTGTTGAAGAGAGATTTGGTGCAGAGGTTACACAAGGACTTATTCCTTTAGGATAGAGAACTCAGTTAGTCAAGATCAATGCCACCAATGGGAAGCACAAAGCAATAGTTTCCTTTTAGCTGGTTTGGTGAGCAAAGAGAACTCCAATTTCTAGCATTACTAATCTTTTGGTGAGTAATGTTTTCACATGGGGAGGGGGAAAGTGATGTAAGGCCCTCTTGCTTATGCAACCATCACACTGATCCTTCATTAGGGGGAAGTGGTAAGTTAAGTGGTAACCATACTCTCTACAAATCAGGGTGTTTCCATTAGGAGAGTTGATGACAGATGGTCTGGAGCCACTTGAATAGAGAACTAATACATAGGAACCTCGATCAAAGGGAGAACAGACAAAGGCTAGCTGCTCTTCTAGCCTACAAGCTGCATTTCAGCCTTATAGCCTGCCTGTAGCTTGGGGGTGTGGATTCATTCCCACCATCTACCATATCGAATAGCCATGAATTCATTAGTACATCACTAAAAGCAGCACAAGGAGATCTTTGCCCGTGCGAGCTTTTATATATGAGTAGTGATTTCAATTTTTAATACTGTAGCTCATTTATTTCTGGAAATTCAGCCCTAGTTTCCATTTACTGTGATAAATAGGGAACCACTTTTTTATTAGCAGTTATTTAAGGTGAGGCTAGTGTATTCTTTGAAATCAAGAGCTTTGATTTCCTGACCACAAGCATCAATTTATAGTAACTGCAATACCATCATCTGTGATGGAGTATTCTATTTGGTATAAGGTAAGGTGAGGAGAAGTGGTCACTATTACATGGTCCAGCTGAGAGTTAGGTTTAAAATACTCTCAACAAATAGGCATAATATGATAATCAACAGGAAATCTGTCTGCAAAATCTGTGGAGAGGAGCGATCTGTTATCTTGAACAACATCTTGTCATGTTACACATGTTGAGAAATGTGATATAACCTGCAGCAGCATGCCAACCCATGTCAGAGTCTTTAAATAGTCTGATTCTGTCATGTGAGTAATCAAATATCTACTCTCTCTCTCACACACACACGCTCCAACTCCCCCCCTCCCCCCCACACATCATGAGTTGACAGGTACTCCAGTTGGTCTTGTCAGATGTATCATGACATGGAAGATACGCTCCAACTCCCCCCTTCCCCCGCACACATCATGAGTTGACAGGTACTCCTGTTGGTCTTGTCAGATGTATCATGACATGGAAGATTTCCTGGGTTCCATTCCTTAATGGTCCCTGCCACCCATTTTTGATGATTGGAGGGACAATCTCTATTATTATGCAAAGTCAAAGTAAACAAACAATTTGAGGAGTATCTGTGAGAGCAAAACACCTCCCCCCAGAACTGCTTGTGTATCTGGATACTTATATATTTTCCATCACCAGAGCACCTGAAAGCCTCACAGACATTTATGAGGTTATTCTTTGGAGAAGGAAACTAGTGACATTATTTCACAATGAAGAGCTGAAAGGTACTTAAGCTGATGTCCAACTTAAACACTTGATATTTTCCATTAACATTAATAGTATTTCTTACATGCTTAAGTACCTCAAAGCAAGGCCTTAGGCCTGGATACAGAAAGGTACATAGGCACCTAACGGCCAGAATTAGGCATCTCTGTGCCATTTTTAGATGCCACCATGATCCACAGAACTCCTGCTCAGCTGCCTACGTTTTTCAGAGTAAACCTATGTTAACATGAGTGCCAGTGTCAGCAAAACTTATGCTGCTCTGGGGTGTAACTGTTCCACATCCTGAGTGACACAAGTGACACCAACATAAATTTTCATGTGCACAGGGCTGTGTTGGCAGGAGAAATTCTCCTACTGGCAGAGTTACTCGCTGAGGTCTTTTTTATGCCATTGGGAAAGCTCTTTTTAAGTCCGTTGGCACAGAAGAAGGGATGGGCCTCGGGACATCCTTCTTTTCAACACATCCCCTTGGCTCCCTGCCTAGGTGCCTGGCTTTTTATGGTTCACATTCTCAGGCATCTCTGCCTCCCCATTCATTGGGTAGGAAGCTAGGCACCTCATTCAGGTTTGGTGGGTTGCAGTGTTGTTCCTGCGATTATCTGGCTGCAAGAAACTTTGGTGTATGTGGATCTAAGTGACTTGCACAAGATGACACTGGAAGAATCTGGAAGGCTGGGAATAGAGCTGTGATAACCTGAGTCACAAGTTAAGACTTCCCCTCACACATGACCTGCTTGCCTGAGACCTACAAAATTGTTCCATATATGTTACCAGATGGGGGAGGAGAGCAAAAGGGGCAATTGCCCCAGGTTCTGGCAATTCAAAGGGGTCCAGGATTCCCTTAAATCACTGCTGGAGAACACTGCAAACTCTACCCAGCTCTGAGGCCTGGGGTTGTGCCCAGCACTGCAGTCAGGGCAACACTGAGGCCTGGCTGCCCTGGCCCAGCCCCTTCTACCTGTGGCCCCTTCCTACCCCCTCTCCCTCACACACACATCTTGTCCTGGGGCCTACCAATGCTGTCGGCCCCCCCCCCTGCCACTATTAGTTATCAGTAAAGTAAAGATTTTGTCACAATTCTTCTTGGTGAAAGTCAGGATCAGGGTCATGGACAATGAACAAAAATTCACAGAAGCTCATGACCTGTCCCTGTCTTTTACTAAAAAGAACTGTGATAAAATGGGGCTGATCCATGCCCTGTTGAGAGGAGGCGGGGATCCAGCACCTAGTGCCCAGGGCAGCAGTCACCTCTTCCTCCAATCCCAGCACCCAGGCCAGCTGACTGCTCTGGGAGCTCCAGGTATCCCCACCATCTGCAGAAGCTGAGAGCTGTATGAGCACTTGCAGTAGCTTGAGTGCCAGATCCCTCATTACCTATTACTGCTGCTGTGAGCTGTGAGGGTCTCTCCATCACCTGCAGTGACTCAGAGATCTGGAATTTCCCTGCTGCCCTTGACAGCTAGGGGCAGAGAGGATCCCCACTACTCACAGTAGCCAGGAGCTCTGCAACTGGCAAAGGAGGTCCCCTATGCTATGGCTCAAGATGCAGATATCTGGGAGCTGCAGGGTCACCCATCACTTAAATTATCAGTCTGACATTGATTTTTCTGTCCCCTAAAAATAAGGCCTGAATTTGTGTGGCGTGGAACTTAATCCAGAATTCCTCAAAATTCAGCTCAAATAACGATCTAGAAAGCAATCTACCAGAACCTTTGAGCTCAGTATGTGTTTGAGCACAGATGAAATGTGACAATGCAT